TTTCTGTGACATTTATTTTCTCCTTTCTTTAGTACAGAGGCTAATGAAGAGTTTCATGTACACATAATTGTCATGAACAGCAGTTTTATCTCCCTACGCGGTGTTCATGGTCTAAACACACAAAGAAGATATGCTGATTCTCACAAAAATTAATTGTTGGGGCATAAAACAAGCAGGAGGGAGGGACAGCGGTGTTATTTCCTCAAGGGAGAAAACCATACCTTTGAGATAACAGGTGCCCTTGGGGGAAGGTCAGAGCAAAAGAAGCTAGTGTCAGGAAAGTGACTTTGCCTTTTAATAAAATGCAATTTAGTAAATGCAAACATGAAAGGCAAGTTGGTATAAAGGCGTGTTTTCTTAACTCCTTCAACACCAAAAGACAGCATTCCCCCTCTCATTAGAGCACCAAGAGCAGAGGCCTTGGAAGAGCTGGAAATGAGAGGCTCTACCCAAAGCATTGTCCCCAGTCCTTTCTCACAAATAGCCCAGTGCTCATCTCTCCTGCAGAGGCAAAGGCTGTGCCAGCCTGGGGGTCCCTGTCCCCACTCCTTCAGGTGAGGCTGCTTACAGCATGCCAATCACTTTCAAACTTCTTATGAGAAACAAACGGGTGAATTCACTATTTCACAGAGGAGAAAGAAAAAAAACATTACATTGGCCAGTTTTATTTTAAAAGGGATGGGTGTTTTGAATATTTGTAGCAGTCTTCAGGGAGACAAATGAATGGATCGTCCATGGATAAAGTGGACAGGGGTGTATGATAAAGACATTTATCATGCGCACATTTATAATCTATGTGTGGTTTATAGTATAATTAATCAGCAGTTGTCTCCTATTCTGTACACAAATGCAGCCTCTCATCTTCCAAGGCACATTTGATAACTAAATTATATCCTTCTGCAATCCAAAAAATCTTATCCCTATGGAAGATTCTGGGAGAAGTCATTCAAATTCCCAACCGCGCAAACTCAAAAAGGGCATTGAAAGCACTTGGCCTTGCGCATCCTTGGTACCTGCACATTGAATCCCTGCAGACTCTGAGGCGCATTCACAGCCATTCTGCCACATGTACAAAGCCACACAGAAATACATGTAAGACTGTGTATATCTGCCTTGAATAGAAGAGAAAGATGTGGAAAATTGTATCCTCAGAAATCACTGCTGCTCTTCAGCTCCCAGCACCAGTGCTGCCTCTTTTTGTACTTGGTCCTGACTTTTAGGAGTATGAAGCCAGTCACAGTCCAGAGAACAAGCAGTCCTTGTTTGGAGGTCAGTCAATTAGAAATCAGGAGACACAAAACATACATTTACAAAAACTAAACACAATAGACAATTTTGAAGATTTTCCCCCTGCAAAAAATCTCATAAATCACAAATCTTGCATCACATACAGAAAAGAAGTATTCAGCTCGATGTAGGTCCTCTCTTTGTAATTACAACTTGCCACATTTTCATGATTTCTTACTCTGTATTTACTATTCTGTTTTGCTGCTGTACAGAGTTTCCTCTATTGCAATCAGTGTGGGTGTCTGGAGTGTGAGCTGTTAGATTTCTGCTCCTCCCCTCACATCAACATGCTGGCAGTTATCATAAGCAGCTACAGTACAGATCCTGGTTAGAGGTTTGCAAGATCTCACATAAAAACATAAGAGACACTAGAAGGAAGAATTATTTTTCCCCTTAACAGAAAGTTCAAGGAACATGTACATATGATTTAATGGGAATAAATAAATAAATAAGAGGTGCAAATTACGTGTGGGTTTGTAAACCTTATGTAAGCAAGACACAATACAGTGAAGCATCCACTGAAACACCATTGTTTAAAATTAATTTAGAGGAGAACTCACTGGACTCGGAAAAAGCAAAGAGTATGTGTCATGCGAAAGTGTTACATCTACCTAAAGAAAAGGAAGAAAATATTCCTCACGTTTTGGACATAACCTTTCCCTCAACATGTAAATAAAAAGGAAAACCAAGATAATTTTAAGAGACCTATATGTTTATATATATTTTTATATACTGCTCTATATAAACCCATAGTCGATATTGCTTTGTACACAATCACTTAAAAAAGGTTAACTTTTCAAGAAATTAAGAGGGCAATTAAGAGACAAAATTACAATGATATATTTTCGAGAGAGGCCAAATCGCAGCTTTTCATATAAAGCAGCCCCATATTGCCTTCTACTTTGTTCCCTTCTCGTGGATGCCTCACAAAGCATTTACATTTTACACAAGGGCGCACCCAAAGTTCAGATAAAGAGGAATCCTGCAATTGTTCTTCCCTATTTAGAAGGCATTAAACACACATTAACACAGGATAAAAAATTCTATGTTCTTTAAGCAGCATTAAAGAGAAGCAACGCCTGTAGCTTATGTATTTTTGTGTGTATTTTAGCTGCAAAATACCAGCACCCGGGCGTTCCTCAAAGAACCTGTGTGAATTTTATCAATGGATCATTTCCAATCCCTCCAACATTTCATCTCTGCCTTCAGCAACTAATGAGTTAAAGATGATAAATAGCATTAACAAAGGAAAGAGGATCTTTCCTTTGTTTCCTGAAGAATGCGGAAGCCTGAATTCTGGCAATGTATTTTTATACTCAGCGAAGTTCCCCAAATGGACAATTTTGCTTTTAGCTTTGTTTATTATTGTACCTTAAAAAAATTATGTTTTGATTATCCGGAGGACAATCACAGTATAAAAGTAATTAAAATTTCTGTTTCCTATTACTAATTGTATTTGTGTCTGTATTTTCCCCTTGTAGAAAAATAAGGGGGAAAATGTACATAAAAATGTGCACCAACACCTCAAAATCAATATAGTCTGACTTCATCTCACAGAGAAACTCCTACCAGGAGTATTATATATAATCTCATTCATAATCAGTCACTAAATACCAAACCACCAAATGTGCATCTGAATCACATTTCAGATGTAAAATTTGCCATTGATAATCCAAAAGAGGCCCAAATAAGCCATTCATGCCACAAAAGAAAAAAAAATTGGTTTCATGTTTGTTGGTTTTGTGCAGGACCTACTGCTCGGTCCTACCATCTCTCCTTATGCTGGTTAATGTTCAGGTCTTCAATTAATTCTGAAGGGATTATTTTACAGAGCCAGGAGAAAAGGAATCATTAAGCACTAACAGCAGTCATAGCTTCACACGCCGCCTTCATAAAAAGGGGGCTCAATGATACAAATGTTTCACACATTTGTAACAGAATTTACTGAAGAGACTATAAGTTAGCAAAATATCAACAAAAAACATTGACTCAAGTATCTGATTAAAAACACACGGCATTTTATTGTTCTTTTGAACCTGTCAGTTAAGAGCCTTATTGACCCCTTCTGTAATGAGGGGGCAAATGTTCTGTATTATTCAGCAAACAAAATTACCAGAAGTAACAGACAGCAAATTTTCCCAGAAAAAAATGGCTCTGTTTTTAAAAGTTATTTGCAACTCTACTCACATTTTAAAATTACACACATTTAACTACTTCATTTAGACGTTTTGTAAAATCTGCGCATTCATATTTGAAGTCTAATGGGTATTAGCATTACATTGGAATTCTCACAGAAAGATAAGAGGAAAAATCACTATATTAAAACAGACAACTATCTGCAAGTATAGTCTGGATCTAATAAAAGGGGGAAAGAACAAAGTTTTATATAAATGTGTAGTTTTGCTTTTAAGTATTTCTTTCCTTCTCCAAGTTTCACATACATTTTAAAAATTATTTAATTTCTGCCTCCTAGATCTGGACACTATTAGAGAAAGAAAACATTTGAGGAACAAATGTTATAAATATTTACACTTTTAAAATGTGCCAGATAGTCAATTTATTAACATGTCCATTCACATCCCAATTTAATACAGGTCTAGTAGAAACCACACGGTACCATTTTAAGTGAGACACCTGGTATGTCAGTGCACATTCACAAGGAGAGTGTCTCAGTACATAAAAAGAAGAAAGAAGTACAGCAAAGGTTTTTAAACATGTGGTAAGTCAGAGGCAAATTGTATTTTAAGTTTTCAGTGAATGTGGGGGAAGAGTAAGGTCCAACCACCCTGCTCTGAAAGCTGCCTACTGAAATCCCATAAACTGGCTTATGCAGCACTCCCACAAAAAAACCTTCTCGCACCTCTGTTGTTTCCTTCTACCTGATGTACCCCTATCTTGCTGAAAAGATAGATGCAACCTGATTATCAGCTGAAGGTATTTCTGTAGAGTATACAGCAGACATGCTTCCCTATATAATACGGTATTCCTCGCAGTCAGATACTATTGGTCATTTGCATACATGGTAATGAAAGAATAAAAAGGTGCAGAAATAGCTGTTCTGTCTCTTCCATTCCAAGGAATTACATTACCTTTCTGGCCATTTCTGAACTTTTAACTGTAACAATGCAGATGGTGGAAGGAGCTGAAAAGGATCTGGACCCGATTCCAGGATTTTTTCCCCCTCCTGTCTGTGACAAGCTAGCAAAAGTGCATACCTCTACATTTAAATACAAATAGCAAGGCTATGTTGCAATGCGAGTGCACACAAGGACAGATGTTCACATCTCATACTGGACTGAAGGCAATCCTAGACCTCTATGACATGAACACATCTGACACAGTACCGATTATAGAGACTTTTAAGCCATACACTATGACCACTAATATTTCATCACTGTTTTTGCAGAGTAATCTGCAATTAAAGAAATATCATAAAGAATGAAATATTTTAAGTCCTCCTGGTATAACACACCCTCTGAGTTAAAATACTGACAGCTACAGAAAGAACACACAGCTCTATCTATTCAGAGGCAGCACCATGAATACATTCAATTAAAACTGAGAAGCATAATCTTGAAAAAGGGGATACGGCAACTACATTTCCCACCAGGAGCTGCACCTCACCTCAAGTGATACACTACATGCTCCCACAAGGTGAAATATTTCTTCCTTCCAATGACAAAAAAAATAGCTGCACAGGAGGAAGCACTTACCTTAATTTCTTTTTGGGGGGGGTGGGGGGGGAAATCAACAAAAGAGCCCGGCTCCACCACCTTGAGCAAAAAACACATCTGAGAAGACGGCGGTGAGAGCGAGCAGCAGCAGGCAGCACCAAGGCAGGGGCGACTCTGCTCGTGCCCCCCTTTTTCCGGCAGCAGGCATGACAATGCGCGAACACCCCCTCCACATCACAGCAGGCAACTGTAGCCAGGAGACAGAGGTGCTTAAATTAGAAAACCGCTGCCAGAGGAAATAAACGGGAACCACAGCGACCCCCTCGACCCCAGCAGCTATCAAATCCGGGAAGATATAGTGCACATCTGTTTTACGAGGCCCCCAGGGAGCTCCAACTCCAGCTACTTACCCTGTCTGCATTATTAATAGATGTTAATGGCGCCATTATATCGAAAAGAAGCCTCTTCCTCTTTATAATATGGAAATTCCAAGTTAGGTTTGGTCGGGTTCTTTTTTAAATTAAAAAAAACCAAAAACCCCTACACACCGTGAGGCAGCAAACAGCTTCTTGGTCCTGCTAACTGCAGAGCTGCACCCCCCTCCCTTCACCCTGCCTTCCCCAGTCATCCTCAATACACTGATTTGGTAGACAAAATCGATTCAAGGCAGTAAACAACTGCAATAAAGCAAACGGGCAGACAAAGACTTCCTGCCATAAGGCAACTCCTGAGTACACAATTTTCTTTTTAATAAGGTTCTGAAATTTTTCAGCTAGAGTATATACATTTATTCTAAGGTAAATGATACAGTGTAAAGAACAGCATAAACCCACACCGTTCAGATTTTTCTTGCTTATCTAAATACATAGTTTATTTTTTTCTTCAGTAGAAGTTATCTGTCACCTCAAAAAGTATTATTTAGACTGACTCGATGACAAAGTATCCTCTGTCAAGTCTTTGATTTAGTTGATGAATAAAGGAATGTGATCCTAAGGTATCCCTAGGCTGTGTTTTTGTTAATGCCTGGATTTCCTCCGGGTCCATTCATCCTCAAGGTAGGTGTACTGCAGTCATGCACCAAAGTGTCAAAAGACCTTCCACAAAAGATATTGACCTATTTTAATCTGATCCATGTATAAATGCAATGGAGCTACCACTGGGAATAAAGTGAACCAAAGATGTATTTTTAACCCCTTTATAGCACTGTATGCAGGAGGAACAAATTCACATCAATAACAAACATACCCTCAAAGACTGTACAAGAAGGCAGTTTGCTTTAACTGGATCTCTTCCACTGATGTTTCAAAGAGCCAGGCACATCTTCTCTGCACTTTAGCATTGCTATCAGATAATTTTGACCAGATTTTAAAAAAAAACAACAACAAACAACAAAACAGGAAATGCCAAAACACTAGGCTTCACCTAGTTGGCTTTTACTCCGCTATTCAAGATACCAATTTTAACTCAAATATAAAACCACCTCAACGCCTCAAACTGCAGAGAAAAAAAAGAAAACAGAGCTATCCTTAAAGACGGAAATACCCCAGCATTACTTGCATGATGAAATATTTGCATATGGAGGGTGGGCTGGGGAGAGCAAACATGTCAAGAATCACCTTCTTGTGCTGCAGATGCATGCTGCAGCTGTTTGCCGGCTTCCCTCAAATGAATGAAAAGTGCCGCTAATTCTTCCAAGACAAATGTAACCGATTGGCTTTGTTGCCTGCTTGCCTCTGTGGCTTTTGAGACCACGCAAGTACGCTGCAGACGCGAAATCACAGGGTCTGGCTGTATTAACTGAATTACAGACAGCGCTGATGTGATCATCTTCATCTCTCTCGCGCGCTCTCTAATTATTTATCCAGATCAAGCCTGACTGCTGGAAAATTAGCTCTCTACAGGAGGTAACCGAGCTGAAAGGTTCTTTTTACCAAGAAATGATGGGCTGGCCTCTAGCAGTATATACGCCAGCGTGCAGTTGTAAGGAAATGTCACAAGATGTAAATTTGCAAGTAGATTTCTCATCCTCACAGAAAAAGAAGTAAGACATTTTTAGAAGACATGAATATATATATATATTTACACAGACACATAAAATAAGTAACTGTCCAAATTTCTGACCCTGAACTTAGAAGAATTTATTTAAAATGGAAAGATAGAGGATGTATATTGGTCACATCTTTTTGTTGCTTTACACAGTCAGTCCCGCTTGCCTGCCTATGAACAAGTTCACAGTATTTCACTTGCACAAGGTTTTCACTTCTTGCCAGCAACTGCAATGAGACCAAGTTTCAGTTCCGGTGCTTAAGGGGAGAAAAGACAGCAACATTTTAGTCACTTAATCAAACCAATCCACAGCAGAATGAACAAAGCATAAGAAAAGAGGATAATAGGGTTTTTTTAGGCTCAAGATACTGTTTTAGCCTATAGCAATCTAAAAGCAACTGTGAATGTTTGGGGTTTTTTTAAATTAAATAAATGGAAAATAAAAAGTGTTAAACCTGCAAGACACACAAGGGTAGTTTCAAAGGAATAGCTTTGAAATTATTTTCCAATTAGCAAGACTGTCATTACAAGTCAATTTGCTGTACTGCATGTGTATATGGATGTACACATTTTTAATACACTTTAGTGTACATTTTGGTCCAATTCTAGTCAGATGTAGCCAGCCCAGTATAAATTTTAGTGCTAGAGAGCTTTAACTTACCATTTGAAGTATTAAGCACACAAAACACTGACATTAAAACAGTATGGCCGTATGAAACAAATATGCTGATTTTGATACCTACAGCCTTTGGAACTTAATTATTTAAAAAAAAAAAAAAGCAGCAGATTCTAAGCTGAATCTCTCTGCTTGCTGCATTTGCAGCAGTTTCAGCATGTCAAGCCTTCCTCGATCTTTTAATTGCATTGGGTGTTATGCATGCCAGGGGTGGGTGAGAATAGTTGTCAACCCACCTGACTGCAGAACAAAGAGCATTTTTTCTTCCAGCATTTGTTACTGATGCTTGAGCCACACCCTGCGTCCTTGCAGAACAGGCTCTTTTTCACATTCTCCTTTTTCCTACTCACATGGAGAGACCATTTCTTCCCAATAATAAAATAATACCCATTCTCTGGAATTACTGCGCTGGGTTTCACCTTTTTTTGAATCCCCTACAGGTTTACTTTTACGGGAGGGAGGGAGGCTGCGGGTGCTGCTGCGTGTCCCATAGCGTGGGGAGTCCCCGAGTTGGGATGCCTCAGCATCCTGCAGCCTGGCTCCCCTTGCCCTGCTTGGGATGCTGCTGGCTGCTCACTCAGTCACGGGAGAGGGCACAGCCTCCAGAGCATTCGAGGGCAGACAAGGGAATAATAAAATAAGAAGAAAAAGCCCAAACCCAAAATAATAATAATAAAAAACCAACCTCATGCAAAAACATGAGGGGAAGCCCCTTGTGCGGCTCCTCTTCCCACCAGCCCCAGGCACCTGCCTGTGGGGTCGAAATTCGAAATGCTCTGGGCAGCATTAACCCCTAATAGCTATTTGCCAAACCACGTGTTTCCTATCTCACTCCTCAAATCCTCCAATAGCTGGGAGTTTGCAAGGTTGAACTCCTCTTGGTCTGGGCGAGAGCCCAGTCGTTGTTCCTCCACTGCTCTGCACAAGGACCCTTCTGCCTTTCATTTCTCTCCTACACTCCCGTTAGCACTGCAAATCGTACACAGTGTCTGGTCTCTCCAGAAACAGAGACAAGAACAAAATCCCTTGCAGGTTAGCTACACAACACCCAGAAGCCTACCATGTTTTTTGCAGATTTGTATAAATGGGCACACTCCTGACTTGATCTACTTAGAAAATAAGCAAACAATGTAAAGCAAGATTCAGACAATGCAAGAACTGGTATCCGCAAAGCAACTTACGTTTGTTTTTCCGCCTGTCAGAAAAATTTCATCCATCACCTCAATTTTCTATTCCAAAAAGTCTGGAGGCAATCAAACACCACAGCTTCTAACGCTGTCCCCAACAATCTTTTTATGTGGTGTAGCAACAGCTCGACTGTGTTTTTAGTGGCTACCTACCAGCAGGTAAGCCCTAAGCATCCTTAGCACCAACAAGGCAGCCCTTTCCCTCTGCATTTCCTGAGTCATCAGGGTTACACCTTCTGACCTAATAAAATTAGCAGCAGTGGTGTTTTTCCCCAAGTTTCAGGGCAAGTGGAGTTAAGGAATGGTGTGACTTAGCCTGGATTACTTTTGCAAGCAGTAAGTAGAGGGTTTACTCATTTTTTAGTGTTTCCCTGACAGAGCACATGCACCCAATGTGCTTCCCAATCCTAGCCCAACCAGCCAAAACGGTTTAAGAACGAACAATGCTATGGCGTCTGTGAGGTTTGGTCTAGGGCTTTCTTGTTTGTTTTAAAAAGAGCTTTTGTTCAACTGTTCCTCGGTATTTGATATGTTATCATCCACCAGCCACGCACCACCAAAGGGAAGCCACAGCGCTCTTGGGCTGTGGCTAGATTCTGCGTCAAACAGAAAACTGTCTGACGCAGAATCAAAGAAACTGTTGCCACTTTAACCTTTGAGATGTAGAAAAATAAAACCCTTTTAACTTTTGATCACATGATTCTTGAATAACCAGCAAAGCCAGCTTTATAAAAAAAAAAAGTCTGTATATCCCTGGACACATTAGACTGCCAACTGCTGAATGTTCTCGTTACTATTTTGAAATAGGGTGTGGGTGGAGATACCTACTAAAGCTTTCTACTGCTGCTGCCGCCATTGCTGCTAATTGGGTAGGTGTTTTCAGAAATCCCTGCTTCTGAGGAGCCTGAACTTGCTTCTGCACTTCTTCTGGGATGCACTGAAGACACAAGTTTCTTGCGCCGTCTGTTTTCTGCATCACCACTGCATGGGGATGGATGCTAGCCTGTGACAGCATCCAGATGTGCTGCAGGCACAGCAGCAGCCAGGGAAGAACAAGGTGAGCCATGAAGGGAAGTCATCAGGACTGGGATGGCAACTGAGAAACAAGTGGGCAGCAGATTATGTGACACTGATATAACTGGGCAGGACCTGACAGCCAACATGAAACCCCCCACACTTTTCATGAGACAGCAGATTAGTGGCTTTTAAAGGCACCTTGGTAGTGAAGGCATCACAGTATGGGAGGAGGGACTCACACCGCAACTTCACAGGCTTGCTCCACTGAAAATTGCCACATATTTCAGTCAAGCCTCACGAGGATTTAATATGCAATGGACACACATGGCACAAAATCAGCAGCTTCTCTCCCCCAACCCTCTGGTAGTGACCAGAGGTGCTGGATGTATCACTGGGGCAGTACAGCCACCAGACAGCAGCAGCACTTTCCCA